GACGCTCTCCATCAGTTGTGGATGTGCCTGAGTCATCCCGCTCTAGTCCTCGCAAGGAAAGAAAGATGGAGAAGTTTGGGAAGTGGATCAAGGTTATTTTCACCACATGCACCTATGTAGCGATGACCGCATATCAGGACCGGTTGGAGAACCGTGAAGCCAACTGGGAGGCTCAAGAGCGTGCAGGGCTCCCACCTCTTTCTCCAGTTCAGTCACTACCAAGGTTTGATGACCTCCCTAGCCTTTCTAAGACAGATTCAGAGGAGGAGGAGCAGGAGCAGCTAGAGCTTGATCCTCACACGAGTTTGAGGTCCACCTTGCAGTCCATGAGGAGGAGCACCAGGCGTGAGCACCACATGTCGACCACTCATCGCCAAGGGAGGGCGGTGGTATCTTCTTCTTCCTCCTCCTCCTCCTCCGACGATGATGATGGTGGAGAGGAGGATGTTGCAGGTGCTAGTGGAGCTGCTGGTGGGGATGATGTCGATTGGGACACCATCCAAAAGGATGGGGAGTGAGTGTTGGTCTTTCTTCTTTTCTTCTCTTTTTGGTGCTTTATGCCAAAGGAAGAGAAAAATTAGAGGGATCAACAACTTTTTCGACGCCATGGAGAGGAGGTTGTTGCAACTAGAGTCATGTTCATATATGTTTAGAGTAGTCTTCGTTAGGTGAGAGTTTGAGAGTCCATTAGAAACTCTATTTATGTAATAATGCTACTTAAGTACTTTATATATGTGTAGGATATGGACATATATTAATCTATGCTATCGCTTGTGATACAATTGTGCTAGAATATATATATTTATATGTATCACATGCTGTGTGGTGTCTGTTCTGATCTGTGCTGTTACAGCAAGTGCGACAGTGCCGCTCCCAGCTGTAACAACAAAACATGTTGTGCATAAACTGTCATTTGCATCACGTTTTACATACCTGACACAGTATGTAGCACCCCACAGGAGCATGGATGTAGGGGGAGCCCCATCACTTTCACTAAAATGTGAATCTTGGCTTCTTATGTCAATTTGAGAATTCAATTCTCTATTCACACATTTAGGGGGAGGCTCTACACCCATGGCTCGAAAAATCTCAGTATTTATTTCATATCTTTTGTAAGCTCTAAATGGGTTGTCATCAATCACCAAAAAGGGAGAGATTGAAAGTGCAATCAAGCCCTAATTGTGAGTTTTGGTGAAAATGACCATGCAATTAGAGAACTAATAAGATTTATCGAGATGACAAGCAGGGAATTTATATTCGAAGATGCTACATGAAATGGAGGAGCCTCCAATTATAAATGTTGATGGCTTCAAACTCAAAGAAGGTTTAAATTATTTTATATTTTGAATTTGAGTATAGAAAAAGCCGTACTATAAAGGGGGACACATTGCTTAAGCTAACATGTGCTACCAAGTGCTCAAACATACACATGCATCCTCAGATTCACAGCCAAGACAGCCTAAACTTCACTCTTACCCTTCTTGTCTTGACTAGTGTGGCACTGCCGCACTTAAAGAGAGGCAATGCTGTAGTGCGGCACTGCCGCACTTAAGCCGTGGCACTGCCGTGACTTAAGTGATCGTTAGGGCTGAGGGGGTATTTATACCCATCCTCTTCCTCCCCAACGGTTATCTTTTTCCTTCTGCTCATTCTAGCTCGTCCAAAACAGAAAAGGAGCTCTCTCTCTCTCTCTCCCTCTATTAGTGACCATGAGCCCTCAAGCAAATCTATTGATTTCCCCATCAATACTTGAGAGAAAAGGGTCCAAAACTCGATTAGAGAGTAGCTCCATTGATTCCTCAACTCAAAAGAGCACTTGGTTCACGTTTTGGCCAAGCGTTTGTGTTTGTTACTCTTGGAGTTTGGCTCCTAGCCTGCTAGAGCGTCGCCCATGGAGCTTGCCAAATTGTGTGGCAGCCCTAGAAGGTTTGTAACCATCTCTTGAAGCTAGCAAACTCACCCCTCATCTCAAGAGTTAAGTCTCTTGACTTGAGAATGAGAAAGGGTTGGAAAGCCCTAAGCCTTAGTGGCTAACCTCAACAACGTGGACATAGGCACGCCTTGGTGGTGAGCCAAAGCATGGAATAAATCATTGTGTCTCTTATGCTTGATTTACATTACTTGCATGTCATATTGTTGTTGAGGTGATTTCTAGGGTTTCTAGTCAATCTACTTGTGTGTGGTGTTCCTACTTCTTCTAACTCTCGATCTGTGACTATCATACCTACGGTAAGCTGATAAATTTCTCCGATCTAAGTTTTTGTTCACTGATTTTAAACTATGACTCAAAGTTGTCTACAGGTGCGGCATGACAACGTTTCGCCCGGCAGTGCCGTCAGTCCGACAGTGCTGCCCGTCAGAGCGACAGTGTCGCAGGGTGAAATTGATAAAAGTTTGAGTGTTTATTTTGACAGGCCTATTCACCCCCCTCTAGGCCAACCAGAGATCCTACAAAAACTCCTAAGTTTGTTTTTTGAAAAGGGTTTTCATGATTTCATCAAGTAGAGGGTTTGCACTGAATAGTTTCCTGTCATCTCTTCCCCTTAGCATTGTGTTGATGAGTTTCAGCATGATGCCCACTTTACAGCAGCGAAAAGAAATGACGAAGTGTTGAACGAGATATGTATCTAATGGAGTAATGGGTATGACCGAGATACATAGATGCAATATAATAACATACGCATATTCGTATGGGAATATGACATTGACATGTGCAATAGCCTAAGCTATGCTCCAAAAAGAGAGGAAATATACATCACTGAGAACACAATGACAGGTGATGCTAAAGAAACCCATTCTTGCCAACTCCCAACTTCTTAAAACAATATTGTTCTACTATAGCAATAGTTGGTAGTTGAAGTCCCATAGATTACTTTGACCCTGTTTACCCAACGACTATTGCCTCAACTAGAGTCCTAGATCACTACGCTATATATACAAGGGCAACACATACATGAACATTCATATAAATATGGTTTTCTCCCTTTGTAGACATGGAGAACACTTATTATCCACTTTGACAAACTTGATGAAAGTTGCACAGATTAGTCAACAACATCATTTCCTCTCACCACACTACCCCATGAACTATCCACAACCACAATTTCCTCCTAATTTTCACCCTAAATATTCAGCCATATTCAATTCTTTTGGAGGTCAATCAAACTACCCACAATTTCCATTTACACAAGGAGGTTATCCTAGGAGTTTTATCTGGGTAATGTGGGACAATACCCACAAGAAGGCAGTCAATCATTACTGGATGGATCTGTAGGCTTCTTTCAAGGTAGTCATGGCACCGATTCAAAAGGTGATGAGAGCAGACTAGTTGGTTTAGCTTCTCCAGTGTCCCAAAGGTAATAAGTTGGTGCAAATCCTAGTTTAGAGTCAGAACAGTCCTGATGAGTTTGAAAAGAAAGAAGAGTGTGCATATTTGGGCCAAGATGAAAACCTTTGGCTAAAAAGTTCTAGTGATCCAATTATTGGAGTTGATAGAAGGGGAGATAGTATTGGAATGATGTTGCAACAGAATGCAACATGCATTCACCCAAAGAACAAAGAAGAACAACTACTCAATGCAAAAACCACTGAAACAAGGCTACCCCTTTTATTACCAAGTTTAGAGAATGTTTGGTTGATGATCAGAACGTGCCATAGCTTGCCACAACTCAATGTACCTAAAGTTAGCCGGTGTGTGGTTCATCACCAGACTTGTGGCGTGGCATAGATGGTTAGGCATGTTGTAGTTCATTTCTAGTGCCAAAGATAGCTAAAAGTTCTGCAGTGTTTTTGTTGGCTGAACTTTTGGCAAGGTCAGAACTTAGGTGTGGCATTTGCTCTTGTCGCAAACCAAGCACGTCTTATATGTATGTTATGACAAGGCAAAAAAGGGAGCATGGTCGTGGTGAATTTGATGATAAAGGCATGGAAGGAACTCGTGAAGCGTACAAAGGAGTCAAATGTTTTGGTGGCCCGGTCACAACGTCCACATCTCCTTCCCTGTGGCGTCTTGCGTGGCCATCTTCTCTAGGGAGGACCTTGGCGTCGAGCACAGGCACGAGCTGCCCAAACACCTCTGTGTCATGACCCTCGCCCCATGTGAGGCGAATCGTGTGGACATCCTCGCTCGCCTCTGCTGCCTTGTGCACCTCATGCCACCACTATTCTCCGGCCTACTCCGTCTCTTTTTGCGTCTCACCTCGTTCCGATGCCACCAAATCTGAGCAAAGAAACAACTATAGATGGAAGATCTAAGAGAGATACCTTGATTTGATTCAGGAGCATGGGAATCGATTTGCGGGATTTTGCTCTTCCTCTTCACTTCAGGAGGAATTAGAGTAGGAGGGGATTTTTCCCTAGTGCCTGAATTGAAGGGAACGGATGATGGAGAAGAAGATGGGTACTTTGTTGCACTTGTTGACCCTAGGTTTCTATATAACACTAATTTCCATGACATCTAGTGACAACAAAGAACATGAACGGATAATGCATTAATTTGTGAAGTAGATATAGGATTGAACGGTAGAGTAAACGAGCTACTGCGCTGGTACGTATTTAAACTGGCTCATATTTGATGTCATGGTGTCAAGCAATAAGCAACAAAATATTAACGCCCATGTGTTCGGGTAGATAGGATTTTCCATTTTGGCTCCCTAGCCCTTGCCCACACCTCGCGGCCATATCTCTCCTTCACCGCAACCTCCTGCACTAAACCCGGCTAGTTCAACGCGGCTCTGAGCTCCTTTTTATAGACAGCTTGTCTCCCAAGCACGAGACTATAGGTCTCCCCCGCAACGACCACCGCACGACGGCCACCCCCCGTTTCCTCCTCATATTCTTCCCCCTCTCGCCTCCATACTTGGTTTGCAAACCATCGCACGCATGCAGCTGGGCGTGGGCGGGAGCACGCTCGCGTGGCGGGCGCCGTGCGAGTGAATGATCGAGCAATGGGCACGTGCACGTAACAAGCAAGCAAGCCAGCGAGTGAACAAGGACGGAAGATGTCAAACCCGCCGCAAAAGAAGGCGATCCGTAATCCCGGCTCCGGCGCCGGCGGGCCGGCGGGCGGCTCGCGGGGGCCGGCGGGGAACACGGTGAAGTTCGCACGGCGGACGGCGAGCGGGCGGTACGTGAGCCTGTCCCGGGAGGACATCGACATGGAGGGCGAGCTGGCGGCGGACTACACCAACTACACGGTGCAGATCCCGCCCACGCCCGACAACCAGCCGATGATGGACCAGGCGTCCGTGGCCATGAAGGCCGAGGAACAGTACGTCTCCAACTCGCTCTTCACCGGCGGGTTCAACAGCGTCACGCGCGCCCACCTCATGGACAAGGTCATCGAGTCCGAGGTGACGCACCCGCAGATGGCCGGCTCCAGGGGCTCCCGCTGCGCCATGCCCGCCTGCGACGGCAAGGTCATGCGCAACGAGCGCGGCGAGGACATCGACCCCTGCGAGTGCAGGTTCAAAATCTGCCGCGACTGCTACCTGGACGCGCAGAAGGATGGCTGCATCTGCCCGGGGTGCAAGGAGCACTACAAGATCGGCGAGTACGCCGAGGACGACCCCAACGACGCGTCGTCGGGGAAGCACTACCTGCCGGGGCCCGGCGGCGGCATGATGAACAACAGCAAGTCCCTGCTGGCGCGGAACCAGAACGGTGAGTTCGACCACAACCGGTGGCTCTTCGAGAGCTCCGGCACCTACGGCTACGGCAACGCCTTCTGGCCCACGGGCGGCATGTACGACGACGACCTGGACGACGAGGGCGGCCCCGGCGGCGGCGGCGACGGCATGCTCCCCGAGCAGAAGCCATTCAAGCCGCTGACCCGCAAGATACCCATGCCGACGTCCATCATCAGCCCCTACCGGATCTTCATCGTCATCCGGATGTTCGTGCTCCTCTTCTACCTCACGTGGCGCGTCCGCAACCCCAACATGGAGGCGCTCTGGCTCTGGGGCATGTCCATCGTGTGCGAGCTCTGGTTCGCCTTCTCCTGGCTGCTGGACATGCTCCCCAAGGTGAACCCCGTGAACCGGAGCACGGACCTCGCGGTGCTCAAGGAGAAGTTCGAGACGCCGTCGCCGTCCAACCCGCACGGCCGCTCCGACCTGCCGGGGCTGGACGTGTTCGTGTCCACGGCCGACCCGGAGAAGGAGCCCGTGCTCACCACGGCCACCACCATCCTGTCCATCCTGGCCGCGGACTACCCGGTGGAGAAGCTGGCGTGCTACGTGTCCGACGACGGCGGCGCGCTGCTCACCTTCGAGGCCATGGCGGAGGCGGCCAGCTTCGCCAACATCTGGGTGCCCTTCTGCAAGAAGCACGACATCGAGCCCCGGCAGCCGGACAGCTACTTCAGCATCAAGGGCGACCCGACCAAGGGCAAGCGGCGGTCGGACTTCGTCAAGGACCGCCGCAAGGTGAAGCGGGAGTTCGACGAGTTCAAGGTGCGCATCAACGGCCTGCCGGACTCCATCCGCCGGCGCTCCGACGCCTTCAACGCCCGCGAGGACATGAAGATGCTCAAGCACCTCCGCGAGACCGGCGCCGATCCGGCCGAGCAGCCCAAGGTGAAGAAGGCGACGTGGATGGCGGACGGCACGCACTGGCCGGGGACCTGGGCCGTGTCGGCGCCCGACCACGCAAAGGGAAACCACGCCGGCATCCTGCAGGCACTGACATTGATTGATTATTGACTGACCTCTGTCTATCTATCTATCTATCACTCACATTGCGTGGTACCGCAGGCGGTCTGATCATGCGATGTGATGTACGGCAGGTGATGCTGAAGCCTCCTTCTCCCGATCCTCTTTACGGGATGCACGACGAGGAGCAGCTGATCGACTTCAGCGACGTGGACATCCGTCTCCCGATGCTGGTGTACATGTCCCGCGAGAAGCGTCCCGGCTACGACCACAACAAGAAGGCCGGCGCCATGAACGCCCTGGTGCGCTGCTCCGCCGTGATGTCCAACGGGCCCTTCATCCTCAACTTCGACTGCGACCACTACATCAACAACGCGCAGGCCATCCGCGAGGCCATGTGCTTCGTGATGGACCGCGGCGGCGAGCGCATCGCCTACATCCAGTTCCCGCAGCGCTTCGAGGGCATCGACCCCTCCGACCGCTACGCCAACAACAACACCGTCTTCTTCGACGGCAACATGCGCGCGCTGGACGGCCTGCAGGGCCCCATGTACGTCGGCACGGGCTGCATGTTCCGCCGCTTCGCGCTCTACGGCTTCGACCCGCCGCGCACCACCGAGTACACCGGCTTGCTCTTCAAGAAGAAGAAGGTGACGCTCAGCAAGGTGGCGGACCCGGCGGGCGAGACGGACACGCAGTCGCTCAACCACAAGCAGCAGGGCGGTGGTGGGGCGGTGGACTTCGACGCCGAGCTCACGTCGATGATTGTGCCCAGGCGGTTCGGCAACTCGTCGGCGCTGATGGCGTCCATCCCCGTGGCCGAGTTCCAGGCGCGGCCGCTGGCGGACCACCCGGCCGTGCAGCACGGGCGGCCCCCCGGGTCGCTGACGGTGCCCCGGCCGCCGCTGGACCCGCCGACCGTGGCGGAGGCCGTGTCCGTCATCTCCTGCTGGTACGAGGACAAGACGGAGTGGGGGGACCGCGTGGGCTGGATCTACGGCTCCGTGACGGAGGACGTGGTGAGCGGCTACCGCATGCACAACCGCGGGTGGCGCTCCGTCTACTGCATCCCCAAGCGCGACGCGTTCCTGGGCACGGCGCCCATCAACATGACGGACCGCCTCCACCAGGTGCTGCGCTGGGCCACCGGGTCCGTGGAGATCTTCTTCTCGCGGAACAACGCCTTCCTGGCGTCGCGGAGGCTCATGTTCCTGCAGCGGGTGGCCTACCTCAACGTCGGCATCTACCCCTTCACCTCCATCTTCCTGCTGGTCTACTGCTTCATCCCGGCGCTGTCCCTCTTCTCGGGCTTCTTCATCGTGCAGACGCTCAACGTCGCCTTCCTCTGCTACCTGCTCACCATCACCATCACCCTCATCGCGCTGGGCATCCTCGAGGTCAAGTGGTCCGGCATCGAGCTCGAGGACTGGTGGCGCAACGAGCAGTTCTGGCTCATCTCCGGAACCAGCGCGCACCTGTACGCCGTGGTGCAGGGGCTGCTCAAGGTCATGGCCGGCATCGAGATCTCCTTCACCCTCACGGCCAAGGCGGCGGTGGAAGACAACGAGGACATCTACGCCGACCTCTACGTGGTGAAGTGGTCCTCGCTGCTCATCCCGCCCATCACCATCGGCATGATCAACCTCATCGCCATCGCCTTCGCCTTCGCGCGCACCGTCTACAGCGACAACCCGCGCTGGGGCAAGTTCATCGGCGGCGGCTTCTTCAGCTTCTGGGTGCTGGCGCACCTCTACCCCTTCGCCAAGGGGCTCATGGGCCGCCGCGGCAAGACGCCCACCATCGTCTTTGTTTGGTCGGGACTCATCTCCATCACCATCTCCCTGCTCTGGGTCGCCATCAGCCCGCCGGAGGCCAGCTCCGGCGGCCGCAGCGCTGGCTTCCAGTTCCCTTGATGACCTTGACATCGATCGGCCAGCTAGCTTTAATTAATTTGTCAGATGCCAGTTCCGTTCCGTTCCTGATGACGTGTACGTGTCACAACTTCTATCTAGTCTTCATGCATTTCATCATCATGCATTCCAGATTCCACCATATAAGTGGTGCTGCACGTGCGATAGGTGAGCAAAGTAACTAGAGATGTGTCAATCTTCCTGTGTTGAGTTTCGACTACTTGTTCTCTGGTAGGGTTAATCGTCGATCAGCGTCGTTTCTATAGACAAAATGGAATTGTTCGGTCAAACTGAACTGAAGAACAACAGATCCGAGATGTATTCATATAAACTTTATTAAGCAGCTGTTTTCCTTCTTTTTCGATATATAAGCAGTCCGTCTCTGTTCATGACTTTGTGCTGTTTGCATGTTTTTTATAGAATTGTAGAAGTTTCCCAAAAGAACCATCTGGCATTTCATTTGTCATAAAAAGTATTTAGCAGTCCTAAAACTAGTTCAATAATGTCATCTTGGCCCATCAACGAGTAATAATTTGCATATCCAAGTACTACACTTACAAAGTGGTTCATTAGAGATTTTTTTTTAAATTACACAGCAGACACGCACGCACACTCACTCCTATGAACACATGTATCAAACCCTACCCCTATTAGCATCTCCAAAGGACTGAGACGGTAAGCCTTTGAGATTCACGAAGTCACCACAGATACATCGTTATCGACGGGGACGTCGCCTGTCACTGACAGCATAGTGCCATTAAATCCTAGAATAAATCCAAAAAAAAATACAATAACCCATGCAAAGTTAAGGACTTAAACCCGAATGAACAGGTTCCACCATATGAACGTAACCAAACCTGCTATCTTGTCTTTATAAGACGCACACACATATCAACGTACTAATTCCCTTACACCTCTTGAGCTGTATTTACAATTACAACCTCTAGTACATGAATGTTTTCTACGACATGCAAAAGAAAATCGATTTGTCCCCTTGCTGCTTTAAACCTTGTAAGCACATGCTTTTCAAATAATTATAATTTACTGTACATTGCTAAGTGTCATGCCTGCGAGGATCAATATTAATCAACTAACCACAATTGTAACTACTCCCTCCATCTCAAATTATAAGTCAATTCCAACTTTTTTGAAACCGGTTGAACTTGAGATGATTTGACTTTCTAAGAAAATTAGAATAACTTATAATATAGAACGGAATGATAAGGGCGCGTTTAGTTCCAAAAAATTTTGGTTTTTGCCCATCAAATCGAATTTTTGGACGCATGCATAGAGCATTAAATATAGACGAAAAAAAAACTAATTGCACGATTAGGTGAGAAATCGCGAGACGAAACTTTCGAACCTAATTAGTCCATAATTAGACACTAATTGTCAAATACAAACGAAAGTGCTACAGTAGCCAAACCCAAAAATTTTCGCGAACTAAACTTGCCCTAAGTAAATTGGAAGAGCAAAAACCATAAGGTCACTGGCGTATGTAATACGTGTATCACTATATGCATCTGGGTCCCTCAAAGGCACGCTAACAAAATAGGATATCGGCAAACTCAATTAAAAAAAAGGAATAACATTGACATGCAGCAAACGATGTTACGATCAGCAACCAGCTCCAACCTTTTATGTTATTATTATTGACCGTGTGATGCCATATGTCTAAACAGAAGTTCTTTAATGACCCAATAATGTGATGTCTGAATTATTTAAGCAATATTGTTTCGAAAGTCATTCTGATATGGCTTAGTCGTATACTAGTTACTAAATGGCAGCACACAAATCAGTTGAAGGAAGAGAAAGTTATTCTGATATGGCTTTGTGCATCTTCCTTTGCACAGCAAGTGAAAGGACAGAGCAACAAACACCCGTTGCACAAGGGTTGTTAAGTATTTATGCCAGTACGTACTTCCTTTTCTGCAACTAAAAATATATACCAACTATTTCTTGATTACGTATCACTACTCTGGCTTCTTACGTGTCACTGTAATAGGAGCAAAATTTTCTATACCCTGAACGGCCTATGCATACAAGTATTGTATCCTAGTAGTTTGTTGCATACATACACTGCTTCCATCGGAGATTGGAACATTGCGGATTAATCGATAGATATAACAGACAAAATTTGTGAGGCACCCAGATGATGATAATACCGACAATGTCTTCATTGTCCGGATCTCCTTCCAATTTGAACAGGGAGGTGGCATGCAAAATTGTGGATTTGCTCCAGATCAGCAATTGTCATAGCATTTGGGCTAACAAATGCAGTTGCCAGATCACCATTTCCCTACCCATGTCATGTGCTCACAACCAAATTCTCCATCAGTTCTGAATTATTTTTTAAATTCATCAGATGGTGAAGCAGATGCTTCCAGCAAGGAAGAAAGTGATGGGCGCAGTAGAAGATACAGTGAGGGCCCCACAAAAGGTATCAGTGCAAGTGGTAGAAGCCATGAACCATTTTTCCTGTTAAGCAAATGCTAATTAATCTCATGTGATGCAAGTTTCAATTGCCATTTTTAACTCAGACATTGCAAAGTCTATCACGCAACTTCTCTACACAACATTAAGCATTAGTGCTTACCATCGCCTTGCTGTCATGTCGTTATAGACCCAAAATGGTGAGAAGGCTGATAGCAAAGTAAAATCAAGGCAGGTGGCATGGATCTGATACATGATATAACAGAAATAGAAAATTAATTTGACACCCACACTGTATTGATTAGATCCATAGTAATCAAATGCAAGGCAATGACATGTAATCAAATTATGGCATGATCAATATATAAATCGCTTATAATCCTTGAACCTTATAAGATAGAGGAAACTAGATCAGTGACTATTTTAACATTTTAAACTTTGAACATGTTTGTCTTTGTGATCACACTGAATACCAAAATTGTTTAGTGGTTGTAAAAACAACTCAAATGAAAGAACATGTAAGATGTGAATACTAAATGCATGATAGTCATATGTGTAACCATTTACTCTAGATATAACAAAGCATTTGTTATTGTTCTTTTACTCAAGATTCACTGAATCATGTTGCAGAACTTACAAACTTGCTCGACCTGAAGTATCGAATAAATTCCTTCCAATCATCGCCACCAGCTTTGCCAGCATATATGATCAGTCCAATGCCCAAGGCAAACACTACCTGCGACATGGAGATTGGAGAAAGAAATATAGTCAATAATTACCAAATAGTGTTTGAAATGTAATACAATACAACTAAAACTTACTCCTGCAGTTAACTTTGACTCAAGAAATTTTAATGGCCATTGTCCAATTTCATCTTCCTCAATGGGAGGTGGAGGAGGCTTCCATAAGACAAAGTAAGGAATCAAAGCATATGCTCCTCCGATGCATGAAAGAACCAGGAATGGCCACACAGGGATCTTGCTTTTGGAACTGCAATACAATTTTACCGTTACGAAAATAATATAGAAAACAGTAATCATAGAAAATAACTACTGCTACAATCACATATTTTGTTATTATATGTGTATACCAAACTAGTGAGGGATAAAAATGCTAGTGCAAAATCACGAATCGATTAGTTTCTCAATATTTTGGACATAGGTATGTTCAGTTTTTATGTTTCCAAATGATCATCCATTTGCAGTCAATTTCAAAATCATGGCAATCCCAATTCTCCTTGCAAATATACTCTACTAATCTTATGCTTGTAAAGAACCATGAATGTACAATGTAGCACATACTATTAACGCAAAGGGCTCTGTTAGCAAGTGGATGTAAATGTAATCTACTGAATGACTGAAATGTGACAGGCAATGAGGCCATTCATGTACCTGTGTTTGTATGAACAAAACACTCAGTGTAGTTTTTCTTAAAGACGATAGGACACAAAGGTGGTGTATATCTTTAAATGCGACATGGATAAAACAATGATTCATTGGTTTAACAAGGGGAGTAGGGACTCCCTGTGATCTCAAAAATAAAACCCTGTGCAATATACCATTTGTCTAAAACAAGTGTGCACTATGAGCAGAATGAACACAATATATTCTGAATAAAAGGCAATTAGGAGAATTTTAGTAAAAGGGTGTAGCATAAATTTATCTTTCGGAGCTGAGCCGAATACATGAGCCAAAACACAAAAAAGGGGCTATAATATAGATGAAAAAATATGTGGTGCTTTTGTACAACTTTAGCAGTCAAACAAAGGGAACATTTCATTGATTACAAATTCGCAGATTCATTTACCTCCTTTCAGTGGGAAAAGGTAACACACTGTAGACTAGTTCAACAACATGCTGGACAAAAACTTTGTTCGTGGTTGGCTTATTTACACAAAATAAAGAACAAGTCACATATCACTCTGTCTGCATACAAAGATAATTTTTAAATCACCTTACAGTACAAGGTGTTATTATTACAGCATGCAAAAGAAACTAGATAACTGTTTCATGGTTAATATCACCTATCCCAACTTGCTTGGGAAGGTATTGTTGTTGTTCCTGGTCAGTTTTTGTCATATACAGACACAAGGACTATCTTTGTGTTTAGGAACTATCCAAAGGATTAAGACAAGCTTCAAGATCAGCCAAATGAAACTAGAAAATTGCAAGTATGCCGCAGCCATCATCACTAGCTTCCTACAGAACATTCATAAGCTTGAGCTGAGTAGGGTTCACAATTTCGACAAAATTCTCCTTTTTCTCTGGGGTTCAGAAATTTTTTGTATCAGGCAAAAATTTTTGGTTGAATTCATCTTCCACCCTAAATTACACCGAAGTACACCAAAATGGCCCTCCATATCCTCTAGTCTCACCAAAGCCCTAAGTGTCTTCAAATTCATTTAGTTTTCTCACTCCCACGCCCGACGTCACTAGCGTATGCAGCTCACCTACCGTCAGTTCGTCCTATTAGCGCTGCTCTACTTTTGTGATATGTTTGTGTTATTTCGTCGATGTCATATAAATTTGTGATGCGTAATACGGTAATAGGTTGGGGAATATTTCTAGTTAAATGATGCCGAATCTTAAAAAAAAACAGTTTGAAATTGTTTGAATTTGATCCTAAATTCCTGAAGGAAGGAGCCTTACCTTCTGCCAGTAGGAAGGAGCAACATACTGTAGACTAGTGGCCAGAGGCCCATAATGTACCATAGAGAAACAAGAACATCATTCATTCGGAAGCCATCGTCACCCTTCAGATTTAAAAGTTTCTGCAAGAGGTATGTGTCTTGGTACTGCAGTCAGAGTGGAGGCACAAATTACAAATTAGCAAGGGAATTCGAAATCACATTCACAGCAGCATAACACAAAGCAAGCAGGCAGGCAATTGTCCCGTACCGGTGTCTGGTTAGGCGCGAGCAGGAAGACGTAGTACATGAGTCCCGCCCAGATCCCGAAGATGAGCACCGACGTGCTCCAGTCGCTGAACCTCCCGCCGCTGCCTCCGGCAATCCGAGCAGCAGACTCTGACACCGCCTCGCTCTTCTTCATATCCTCTTGCTCTTGAGCAGGAGAATCGGCGCCTGGAGGGCCCTGGAGGGACGAGTCTCTGCAGAGTTGGGCCCAGCCACGGCGCCGCACTCCCGGCCGGCACGCAGCGGCGTTGACGAACAGAGGGACACTGGCTCTGGCGCCACTAGTGATGGAGGCTGCGGCGGTTCTCGCGACGAGGGCCATCAGCGGTGGCCTTATAAGAGGAGCGAGGGGAGCACGGGCGCTGGCGAGCATGAGGTAGGTAGAGGAGGATGCCATGGCTGTGCGCGGCGGTGGTGCTGTGGAGTGTTGTGGACCGTGAGGGATAAGCCGGCGGTGGTGCTGTGGGCAGGGGACAAAATTTCCAATTCGAGGACACGTCTGGAACGATTGGAATTTTACAGAAATGTCGCAGGAATCTCACCAGATTCCATTCAATTTTACATGAAAAACGTAGGACCAGGATTTTTTTTTTGTCTTAATCCAAGCAGGCCTGACAATAGCCAGCTAAGAGAGAACGTCACGACTGGAAAAAAAAACAGAGTTTCGCGGGTTTGAAACTAGAACTTGATCATTTGGTTGATGAATACATCATCATTACAGTTCTAAAATAACTGAAGTATCAAATAGGATAGAAAAAAAATGAAAGGAGAGAAAAATAGGAAAGATTTTAATTTGCATGTCAAATAGGAAAGTAGAAAACTCAATGTTAGATGCGGATAGCATGTTCTATGTAAAAGTTGTTTCATTAATAGTGTTTTTGTTTGAGGAACGAGGTGGTCCATCTTTTTTTTCACTTCTTACTTTTTGTATTTGGCTTGTGAAATGGAATGAGTTGATCATCACCACCTCTAACCCTGTAGGGCCGGTTCAAACCGGACCAACCCATGAAACCAGCCCATAGAAAGCCGTTTTGTGATTTTTGCTTGGGTTGGTTTGGGGTACGTGAGGTCATCTTGGCCGCGCGGCGGCGGCATGCCGACTCATCTTAACTGGCGGCGGCGCTTAACCGTCGATCGCGATGCTATGGTCTCAACTCTCAACCAAGCCGAAGGTGGAGCCGGGCAGGGCGGCTGTAGCAGCGAGTTTCACGGCGGCGGCGGCACGTCCATCTTGTCCTGCAGTGGTGGCTTGGTCTCAACTAGGTGCGGCGGCCACCACAGGTTTCGCGATGGCAGCGATGTGCGGATCCATCTTATCCGGCAGCGGCGTCATGGTGCTTCCGTGCCTCACTGTGGACTCACCGATCGCCACAACCCTTAGCGATGGGCACCGCGCCCCACGCCTACTTTACGTCGTCCCCAACGTCGTCATTCTCATGCGTCTGCCGCTGTCATCTCTGCCAGGGGAGCCGAATGTGCCGTCCGTGATGGGAGGTCCCTAGAGTATCACTCGCCGCAAAAGAGCCGACGCTCTGCCCGCGTTGGGAGCTCCCCGCCTCTACGTCGACAGCAACCTGTCAAAACCACGGTAACCGTGGGTTCCAAACCATAGAACCTAAATGCCTTCCGGGTTGATTTGGTTTTTAACCAAAAACCGGTTAACCGGACCATGAACAGGGTTAACCACCTCATTCCTCACAAGCTAATAATTAGTATATGCATGATAAATGAGTTGATTTCATCAAAATTGATAGGATAAACCCATGATGCATCACCTCATAAAACATAGGGTGACTCCACGAACCAATCACACCGTAAGAAACCACGGCTCGATTAGAAGGGGGAAGAGAATATTGCTTTTCAGATTCGTGCTGCAGCTAGAGAGGGGGTCAACAAATCAGATAGCTCGTGCGGCACAAGGGCATGCGGGTTTGCCTTACCCCTTACTTAACCAATGTCAAGTTAGATAACTTCATCTCATTGCTTCCATTATAAAAGTGTTAATGAAACATTTCTTCCATTTAAGCCCAAGAATCAATGGAACAAAATGGCAAAAAAGTAAACCATGAAAAATGTCATCCTAGTAAGAGAAGAGAAAATTGCAAACTTTCATAAAAATCTAAGATACTAGCTTCACCTATCTGTGAAAGAAGCAAACTATTGTGCTACTATCTGAATTTATAAAAATCTAGTACCCTCCAGCCATTAGGAGCTTTCAGGAATTCAAAATGCAAAGGGTATGGTCTATGATATGTATTACTACCAGGCTTAATTTACACATCTAGATTAGATTCAATTGACTTAGTTACTCCTCTAGACCGATTAAGAGATTTAAAAATACGAGAGGCTAGGTGCAGCATTAAGTGTAGGAATTGCACTTAGTGACCATGGTAGGTTTGACCGACATCCAATATCAAACCACCATTCTAAAATGATATTAATTTGATACCATAACATTACCGTAATCCGCATGGTAACATCTAGCCATGTCATACTATGGAGTTCAAAGCAACCATGCATGTCATGAGCAAGTGCAACCAAAATCTTTTGTGAACCCCTAAACTTTTGTCTAATAATGGTATTTCTGTCAAAAGAAACCAAAATCTATCATTGGCCATATACTGCACCAGAAAACTAGCTTCGATAGGGGAATTGTCACAGCACCAGAGGCTAATGGCTTAAGTATGACATCGCACATAGTTGGAACTCCGAGCCCACTCCGAGCCCGTGCTTGACTCAAAGATGTGGTGTGGAAGGGTAAAGTCACCATCAGCGAACATGGTACCATCGTTGTTGCTGATGCCCCTCTGCCTCTTGGCTGGGCGCTCATGCTTTGGACTGAGCCTTGGTGAGTCAGGCCGACAGTTGGTGTCAGGTGTTTGAGGTTCACCATTAGGAATATCTTGTGAGCCAGTCTTCATGGGCTCAACTTGACTTCCATTGTCTTCACTGAATGGAATAGCCTGAAGTGGAGTTGGAGATGCTGGTACATGGGTTGAGGAGTTAGGTCTTTTGGATTTGGTCAACTGTTCACTTGATGTGGCTCTAGAAACTCCAGCACCATTGATGCGTTGCTGCTCTTCGATGATCTTCTGAAGGTACTTGCCCTGTGCCTCAATTCGCAGCTGCAGCTGCCTTTGTACCTGCAAGGGATGTTTGTCAGCTTCGACAAGACCTGTAGTGGCTTGATTCTTGTTATAAATTCAGAACCGCAACAGCGGCAGTAGGAACATCTGAATATTAAATGTTCCTTTTCTGTTTATGTAATCTGTGCTCTTAGTTCTACACTTCTTCTAAACACTACTGCTCTTTGTTGACACCTATCCTCAAACAATACATGCAAGTTTTTTTTTACTGATATATGTAAGACATAATGTGCTGCTGATCTCTCTCTCTTTGTTTGCTGCACAGCAGATTTGGCAATAGGTCATTCTTTGCTGTCCTCTAGCAGTAGGGCAATAGGCCACCACTGATACATTAGTTGGTAGCTAATACATCAGTCATGTCTTGGTAGTAGGCTAAGGTAGGAATTGTACTGCTAGTACTAAGAGTAGTTGGGGTTGTACTCAGCCATGCTCATGTGTACCTTATAATTAGTACATGAGTTGTATATATTCTACCACTATGCAATGGAAAAAGCAATTCAGTTGCTACAAACCAAAAGAGCAGAGCTCTGGTCAGCGCTGGTGCTTGTGCTCTGTGTGTATGCTTGAGCTCAACCCCTTCTTCTACCTCTAGCCATAGTGAGTGAGTGTGTGTGCTGGTAAACTTAGTACTTACTTGTGCAGGGTAGCGAGGCACCAACAACTGGTATCGGAGCCGTACAGCTGCGTCGCCGAACTAACCGCCGGCGATGGCAACTAGCTCGAAGACCGGCGACATCAGCGGAGCAGCGGGAGGCGGCGATGTTGCTAGGGCGGCCCAGCAATGACAGGAGGTCGCGTGCGCACGGTGCGGGAGGTCAGCGGCACTACTTGGCCATAGCTGACTTGCACCAACTATGGCGAGTGGGCAGTGACTATGAAGGTCAAGCTCAGGGCCCGACAGCTCTAGAATGCCATTGACAAGGGCACCAACAATGAAGAAGACGACATGTCAGCGATGGAGGCCATCCTCGCTGCTGTGCCAACAGAGTAAAGGGTGCCGTTAGGGGCGAAAAATACTACTAAGGAGGCGTGGGAGGACAGCGATGCGCGTCGGCTCGATCGCGCAAAGAAGGCGATGGCCCAGCTGCTGAAACAGAAGTACACCAACCTCAAGTTCAAGGATGGTGAGTCGGTGGAGGACTTCTCCCTCCGCCTGCAGTCACTCATTAGCAAGCTGGGGAGCCACGGCGTCACCATCGACGAAGAAGAGGCGGTCTCCAAGTATCTCCATCCACTTCATACCGGTGAAGTACATCCAGATCGCTCGCTCCATAGAGACGATGCTGGATCTGTCCACCCTCACCATTGAGGATGTGACCGGCCGTCTGCGGACGGTGGACGAGCGCATGAAGCAGGCCACAGCAACGACGAACAGCGGCAAGCTGCTGCTGATAGAGGAGTGGGCTGCCTAAATGAAGGAGAAGAAGTCTAGGGAAGCCTCCTCCAGCTGCGGTGGCGACGGCAAGCGCCGCGGTAAGGCTTCTTCGGAGAAGAAGATCGACCCCAATGCCTGCGGACGCTGCAGGAAGACGGGCCATTGGACAAAGGAGTGCTCAAACTGCAAGCAGGAGAAGAAGGCCGAGGCTCACTTGGCGCAAGCTGATGATGATGATGAGGCCACTCTCCTGATGGCGACGTTCTGTGCACTGCACGACGTTGAGGCCAAGAAGAAGGGAAAAGTGATGGCGGTACAGGAGCACGGGAAGACTCTGAAGGCTAACGAGCCGCGCGCCCAAGTCCACCTTGGATGTGTGGGCGGCGAGCAGGAGCAACGGTGGTATCGGGACTCCAGCGCCAGAAACCACATGACGGGTTCCAAGGCGGCCCTTCACAGAGCTCGACGGCAACGTGACCGGGACAGTGATGTTTGGTGACAGCTCAAGGGTGACGATCCGAGGGCATGGCACCATCATTTTCCGGTGCCAGAACGGCGAGCACCGCGCGCTGACAAACATCTACTACATCCCCTAGCTGCGCTCGAGCATCATCAGCATCGGGTAGCTGGACGAGCACGGCAGTGAGGTGCTGATCAAGAATGGCATCCTCAGGATCAGGGACCGAGAGCAGCGCCTTCTCGCCAAGGTGAAGAGATCCGGAACCGACTGTACTGCTCGACTTGAAGGTGGAGCAGCCCATCTGCCTGGCTGCATGGCGCACGGAGGAGCCGTAGTTGTGGCATGCCCGGTATGGCCATCTCAGCTTCGACGCTCTTGGTCGGTTGGAGAAGATGGTGACTGGGCTGCCTCACATCGAGCATGCCGGCGAGCTGTGTGACAACTGCTTGGCTGGGAAGCAAAGGAGGTTGCCATTCCCGAAGACGGCGAAGTATCGCGCGGCGGAGGCCCTCGAGCTGGTCCATGGTGATCTCTGTGGGCCGATCACGCCAGCGACGTATGGAGGCCACAAGTACTTCATCTTGCTAGTGGATGACTGTAGCCAGTTCATGTGGCTGCCGCTTCTGACCAACAAGAACGAGACGGCAAAGGCGGTCAAGTTCAAGGCGCGCGCGGAGGCGGAGAGTGGCAAGAAGCTGCATGTGCTGCGGACTGATCGCGGCGGCGAATTCACCTCTGTAGAGTTTGCAGCGTACTGCGCGGATCAAGGTGTGGTGCGCCACCACACCGCGCGGTACACGCCGCAGCAGAATGGCGTGGTGGAGAGGCGCAACTAGACGGTGGTCGGCATGTTGAGGTCGATGATGAAGGCTAAGAAGATGCCGGCGGAGTTCTGGGGAGAGGCCGTGACCACGGCGGTGTTCATCCTCAGCCGTGTGCCCACCAAGGCCCTGAAGGGCAAGACGTCGTTCGATGCTTGGCATGGACGCAAGCCGAATGTGTCCTTCCTCAGGACATTTGGCTGTGTTGGCCATGTCAAGAACACAAAGGCCCACCTCGGCAAGCTGGAGGACAGAAGCACGCCCATGGTGCTGTTGGGCTATGAGGAGGGCAGCAAGGCCTATCGGCTCATGATCCCAAGGGAGGCAAGGTGGTGGTCTCCAGGGATGTAGTGTTCGACGAGATGGCTGCTTGGGATTGGCAGGATCAAGGCGCCGAGGAAGCTGCTGGTGTCAGCAGCACTTTTGCTGTCGAGCACCTAGTGATCCAAGGAGGAGATGATGGCGCTGGAGAGCAGGCTGCTGCTGGAGAGCAGTCTCCACCAGCAGCGGCACATTCACCTCCACCACAGTCCCCTGCGATGGCAGCATAGGGGACACCCCCACTAGAGTTCGCATCACCAACCACCGACATCGATGAGTTCGTGGATGCTTTCCATGACGGCGAGGAGGTTCGATTTAGGCGGGTGGACAACATTGTCGGCTAAGGGGGAGCTCCTGGGCTGGCTAGCCAACTTCTGGATGACCCAGAGCTACTCCTTGTCAGCGCAGAGGAGCCGCCGGCGTTCACAGTGGCTAAACACGACGCCAATTGGCGTCGGGCGATGTTGGATGAGATGAGGGCGATCGAGGACAATGTGACATAGGAGCTGGTGGATTCACCGGTGGGCTGCAGGCCGATCGGGTTGAAGTAGGTCTACAAGGTGAAGCGGGACAAGCACGGCGCCATTGTCAAGTACAAGGCTCGGCTCGTCGCCCGCGGCTTCGTCCAGCGCGAGAGCATCGACTTCGAGGAAGTCTTCGCTCCGGTGGCGCGCATGGAGTCCATTCGCTTGCTGTTGGCCATGGCAGCACAAAGGATTGGCGCATCCACCACCTCAACGTCAAGTCTGCGTTCCTCAACGGCGAGCTCGCGGAGACGGTCTTCGTCAAGCAAGCTCCGGGCTTCGCCGTCAAGGGCGCTGAGCACATGGTGCTCAAGCTGCGCAAGGCGCTCTACGGGCTTCGGCAGGCCCCTCGGGCGTGGAACGCCAAGCTCGACCCCACCTTGGGCGAGCTTGGGTTCACTCGCTGCGCCACAGAACATGCGCTATACACGCGGCGACGGGGGAAGGAGGAGCTCGTCGTCGGCGTGTACGTGGATGACTTGATTGTCACCAGTGCGCGTGCGGAGGACATCGATCAGTTCAAGCGCGAGATGGCAGCTCAGTTCAAGATGAGCGATCACGGCGCGCTCTCCTACCTCGGCATCGAGGTGAAGCAAGGTTAGGAGAGCATCTCCCTAGGCCAGCGAGCCTTATGCGAGAGAAGCTGCTGGAGCACAGCGGCATGGCGGAGTGCAAGCCGTGCGCAACTTCAATGGAGGAGAGGCTGAAGCTATCCAAGCACAGCATGGCGGCGAAGGTGGACGCGACGCGCTACCGAAGCATCATCGGCGGGCTACGCTACCTCACACATACTTGGTCGGACATCGCGTTCGCGGTCGGGTATGTTAGTCGGTTCATGGAGGAACCGCGTGAGGATCAATGGACGGCGGTGAAAAGGTTGTTGCGCTATGTCAAGGGGGCGCTCGATCAAGCGATCATCTTCCCCAAGAGTGGCGGCAAGGGTGGGCTGCGGCTCACGGTCTTCAGTGAGGCACCCCCCAAGGCAAAGGAAGGTGAGCCGGAGCTCACTATTTTCAGCGACGCAGACATGGCGGGTGACATCGACGGGCGACAGAGCACCTCTGGTGTGCTTGTCTTCCTTGGAGCAGCCCCCATCACCTGGCAATCGTTGAAGCAGAAGATTGTGGCGTTGCCAATGTGTGAGGCGAAGTATGTCGCAGCGGCCACGGCGACGTGCCAGGCTGTCTGGTTGCGCCGGCTACTGGGCGAGCTGACCGGCGAGGAAGCTCACCCGCCAGCTCTGATGGTGGACAATCAGCCCGCCATCACCCTCACCAAGAATCCTGTCCTCCACGACCGGAGCAAGCACATCGACATCAAGTTCCACTTCCTCCGAAACTGCGTCGATGGAGGGCAGATCGTCATCGAGTTTGTCGAGACCGGCAGACAGCTCGCTGACATTCTCACCAAGTCACTCGGGCGCCTGCAGTTCATGGAGCTGAGGAAGATGATTGGCATGGATGAGGTCAAGGCTTTGGGTTAGCAGCAGGATTATGAGAAGAATTATAAGACATAATCTACTGCTGATCTCTCTCTTTGTTTGCTGCACAGCAGATTTGGCAATAGGTCATTCTCTGTTGTCCTAGTTGCTGTAGCAGTAGGGCAATAGGCAACCACTGGTACATTAGTTGGTAGCTAATACATCAACCATGTCTTGATAGTGGGCTGAGGTAGGAATTGTACTGCTAGTACTAGGAGTAGTTGGGGCTGTACTCAGCCATGCTCATGTGTACCTTATAATTGATACATGAGTTGTATATATTCTACCACTATGCAATGGAAAAAGCAGTTCAGTTGCCACAAACCAAAAGAGCAGAGCTCTGGCCAGCGCTGGTGCTTGTGCTCTGTGTGTGTGCTTGAGCTCAACCCCTTCTTCTACCTCTAGCCATAGTGAGTGAGTGCGTGTGCTGGTAAGCTTACTACTTACCTGTGCAGGGTAGCAAAGGACCAACAATATGTCTCCTTCTAAATCAACTAAGGGTCAGCAAAGTAATGCCTCCAGAATTGACAGAATACAAGGATCGTCAAGTCTACCTCTTGACAAACTTTTAATTGTGGGTTGTTGACATTTCATCACATTCCTTGAAACATGGTTCAAGAACAGAAATGTCATTTAATAAGCTTCACGCTAAAGTAATATAGCATTCCAGCAATCAAGGCAATAGCTGATTATCGTTCTAAGTCAGATAATAATACATGGTTTGATATTGAGTTCGCCAGAAAAAAAACATTGGAACTAGGAAAGCCTTGGTGCTTATCCCCATATATAAAGCATAACTAATTATATTTAAAGATTTTGCAATTTAAAAATCATAAAGCTATTTAAATTGGTAAACCTATTGAAAGGTTGCAACACAAAATTGAAGCTAATTAAACTACACCTGAGTTTAACTCAAAAGGCCTAGAACATAGAATGAACCTTTGGCACTGTGCATGGGGGTGTGTGGCCAGTGCAACAGTACAGGGCCCCAATTTTTTAGGGGCCTCAAAACTATAGCTTATCCAGTAATCAATAATTCAATATTCAATACCCTATTCAATACCTGTGCAGAATCGCTACATCTCTTCCTATTTGGTATTCTGTAGTTCCATCTATGTTGTTTGTTCGTCTGTCCAACTACTCCATCCAAATCCAACTCCCTGAGTGTCTGTCTCCGCTAGGCAGCCAGGGAATCTTGAGTCCAGTACTCCACTGCAAACATCAAAGTGCAAACTGCAAAGCGTCGGCGAGGGGCACTGGAAGAGGGTGTACTAGCAAGTGCCAAACTACCGTAGTTTTTTTTTTCTCGAATACGCAGGAGAGCTGCGTTATCATTTCATTAAGAAGGCAAACTACCATAGTGCCACAGATCCATCAAAAACTTGAGATGATTGGCACTTGGAGGCCAGCACCTGGCAAGTAAGTAGCCTAATTCCTAAAGATATGTAGGTTAAATTTTTTTGTGTTAACTACTATAAGAATATTATATATGATTAACGTTTTATTTTTCTAGACTGTTAGGGCCTATTTTAGAGCTCAGAACATGGCCTTGAATTTTGCCATCACGGACCTTGACCTTTCAATACAACTATAACATCATTTTAATTGAACTAATGGCATCATACAATAGTGTGTTTAACTTGAGGAATCAATTCATCCTAGATTCAATGATATATCATGGGATCATGCCATGATTTTGGTAAGATGACATCATTCTTCATATATACACTATATGTGTGATAAACTGATAACGGTAAACAAGGAATATGATAATGGATCAAGTCATTCCATTCCTCATCAAACAAATGACTTTGGTTCAGAATTAGCATCGATTGGTCCATTACCATCACATTCCTACACCAAACAACTTATAAGTCTATCTTGGCACACTTAAGTGTATCATAATATATTTGGATTTGGTATTTTCAAACTTTTTCCAGATTCCAAGCATGATACAATATCCTTCATGAAAGAACTCAAAGTATCAATGCCAATGAGTATCATATCACATATTGAACTCCAATGATATCTGTGGCGTCATTAACTTACCTCTAATTGTTCATGCAACCGCTTCTGGATCTCCATCTGCAGCTTCAGGGCTTCAGATATCTGCATTGTACTGCAATACATAACAAAAGTATATATCCATCATGAAACAGTTGAAAGTTTGGAAGATTAGGCAATTAGATACTATCATTTCACAAAAAGGGAATAGGATGGCCTGCTTTATCTAATAGAAAATAGCAAAGCGGACATGAAACTAACTGAAAGAGTACTATTTATGTGGTGAAGTAAATAATCGCAAGACATAGTTGAATCAAGGAATCAAATATTCAAATGGCATGCATACAGTGTACACCTCATTTTATTTTTTAGCTCCACTTTATTATAAGTTTAACAATGCCAACACTGTTGAAAGTGCAAACTGCATTTATTTCCCTGGCTAATAATCTAATACAAAATTTAGCATTGTCATTGGTATTTTCATGCTGCAAATGATGTCTGACCATTTGAACTGAGCTCAGAAAAGATTGGACTTGACCAACCTCTCTCTTTCTATGAACTACAAGCAAGAAGACATATCTTTTGTATGAAAGTAAATACAAACAAACAGACGCACTGATACATACGAGGAACCTTCAAGTGCTGCCAGCAAATCCCCTGGATCTTTCTTTTCAGCTTTGTTGTCTACATGAACGATAAGATTAAATAAACCAAAATAATAGTAGATACATGTTCTTGCTTGAATGCACGTAAAACAAGATAATAATGGTCACCTACCATCGGCTGCAGGGTCTGGAATGTACTTTGCAAGACGGCATTTCTAGATTTTTTATTAAAAAAAAGAAAAAAAAATGTTAGGGTGAAAAAAAATGTAAGGAATTGAAATCGTGAAGAGCTATTCATATATAGAGAATTACCTGTAAGTGACTCTTCACATGGTATATTGTAAGTCCCGGCACGCCCATAATCCTAAGAACTCCCTTTGGAGTGGCTCCTGTCATGTTTGAATAATTGCACAATAATAAGATAAAGTTACTTAAAATTTGATCATGTTAAAAGAAGTGTTTCATCTACAATGTAAACTTATAAACTAGTATGCACACACTTCAGACATAAGCAACAGATCTCAAAATCTCAATGATTACATGTCCTAAACACTAGCACCAACCTATTCATCATAAACAAATAGTTATCTGTTAGAGTACGTCAGGGGCCTATTGAGCCTGGGTTGGCTGTATAGCCCATTAGTGTTAGGGTTAATTAGAGATAAGGGTCGCTTACTTAAGGGTCAAGTAAGCCTTGCTTGGAAGTCAAGTAAACCTCTCTATATAAGGAGAGGAGATGTATCGATCTAATCAAGCAAGAGATTAGAAGAAAATCCCTTCTCTCTTGCCGGCCGTGGGCGAACGCCCCGCGGCCGGCTCTCTCTCACCCTCGCAGCCATACCCGTGAACAGTACCCACGGTACTGTAGCGCGCGAGTACTGTAGCGCGCCAGCCGCCGTCGCTCCCTCGCCTCTCCCTCTCAATCCTCCAGCCACGTAACAATCTGGCATCAGAGATCTCTGGTTAGCCGCCATCGCTCCCTCGCCTCTCCCTCTCAATCCTCTAGCCACATAACAATCTGGTATCAGAGATCTCTGGTTCGATCATGTCCACCCGCTGCCACCAGCGTCTCACGCTGGCTTGCTGCTTCTTACATATCAAGCCATGCGGCATTGGTGTATGTACTGGCATCCTCAGGGGCGATCACGCCCTCTGCCCCGGCGCCGTCGTCTCCCGCCGCCCTCGTCCTCACCCCGGAGCAGATGACGGCCGCAATCCTGGAATTACGGCAGGCCATGGCGGGCATCAGGGCCTTCCTCGCCGCGACCACGACGCCGGTCATCTCGTACCAGTATGGGATGCCCTACGACGGGACCGCGACGACCTCGTTCCCAGCCGCGCCGCCGCCGTCCCAGGGCGTCCCCATCCAGCAGATCCAGTTCCCGCCGTCGCCGCCACCGCTTCCGGCTTGGATCGCCGGTTTGTCGAAACCCATTTACACGGCGCCCAGTACCCAGCCGCACCTACCGCCGCTCCCGACCACCGGGGCTGTCATGGCGCATGGCGGCGCCCCGGCTTCGGGCGTCCTGTACGGCGGGGTGGACGGCGGAAGCCTGATGCCGACGCTCTCCGCCACGTCGCCCTCGCTGGACAGCACGGGCGCGGCGCCCTCGGCCTCCGCACAGGACCCGCCGCCAATTGCGCTTAGCTGCGCGGAGGACCTCGATCTCGTCCGCTGCGTTGGGGATCTCGGGCATGCGGTTTCCCCCACAGGCGGCGGGCATGCTATTTTCCCTGCAGGCGGCAGTTGGGGAGGCGCATCCCTCCACCTCGTTCTCCATCGGAAGCCCTCCGCTCTTCTCTGTGCGGTGCAGACCAGCAGCCGTCTGGCGGGGAGAAGGTGTGGGGTCACCAGCGAGAGCGCACCGCGTATCGCCGTCACATGGTCGCTGTTGCGACCACTTCCAGGTGGCCATACACATGCACCCCTTTCGCTTAGATGGTGTCCATGGGATCCAGGAGGTTGTACACATGCAGGTTTGGCGTGTGGATGGTGTCCACCTTATGTTCAGGAGTCAAAAATAAAGAGTTCCAGTCGATTTCAAGTTGAGAATAATAAAATAAGCCAAGATGTAAAAGGCTTGTTTTTTAGGTGTTAGGAGTCGAGTCAGCGTTATAAGTTCGTTAGGTTGCAGCTCGAGGACGAGCTGCATGTCCAGGTGGGGTGTAGTGTTAGAGTACGTCAGGGGCCTATTGGGCCTGGGTTGGCTGTATAGCCCATTAATGTTAGGGTTAATTAGAGATAAAGGTCGCTTACTTAAGGGTCAAGTAAGCCTTGCTTGGGAGTCAAGTAAACCTCTCTATATAAGAAGAGGAGATGTATCGATCTAATCAAGCAAGAATTAAGAAGGAAAACCCTTCCCTCTTACCCGGCCGTGGACAAACACCCCGCGGCCGGCTCTCTCTCTCTCACCCTTGCAACCCTAGCCATGAACAGTACCCACGGTACTGTAGCTCCGCGGGTACTGTAGCGCGTTAGCCGCCGTCGCTCCCCTCGACTCTCTCCTCTTGATCCTAGCAGCCACATAACATTATCACTGTAAGTTATAAAGAAAACTTCTACCTAATCGTCAGGGCGTGGAGATTCAAATCATAAGCCACATGACTAAAACAGTGAACAGATAATCCCATCCTCCATGACACATGCATGCACCAAGCACTCCAAAGAAGATCATTATATATTAGAGTCCACCACTGTCACCAACACTGATTCTTAGGACCTTTTTTGACCGAAGGATTCTTAGGACCTTGGTAACTAAAACAAGAATACAAATAGTAAATTAGACGTTTCTCTACTCCTAAAAAGATCGACAGGGGGACGTCAAAAGTTTAATTCAACATGCCTCCCCGCTCCATTGCCTAGGTTACAACCGTGCCGACAGGTGGACCCTACACGCACCCGATCGCCCCCAGGCCCCAGTGCACTACTCGCATCTTCCTCTCTCTCGGCTCTCTCGCTCTCGCATCTCGTGCCCGCCGCCGCCCACCCTACTCTCACGCCAGCTGCTCTCTGCTGGCTCCCCTCCTCTCGCGCCCCCATACTTCGTCCCGGTGTTCACGCGCAGTCCGAACTGCCCTTCGACACCTCCCCCTCGCCTCCACAGCCGCGAACCTAACCCTAGCCTCTGATGTGCCAATGGGTGTGGCCGTGGGGGAGGTCAAGCTCCAAATTCCAGTTCCTGCTGCCGCACACCGACGGAAGGAGAACAAGGAGGATCCCTGTGCGTAGGCTATGTAGACGCTCACATTGCAGACGCCATCGGATCTGGGAGCCACTGTGGTCCTGTCTCAACCAGACCTGTCGCCCTATCGGCATAGAGATGGCAGCTGATTCGGCACAGTATGACAGCAGCGGGTGTGTCGATGAGGTAGCTCCGGCGGTCTTGCCTCTCTCGGCACCGCTGCCGCAGCTTCTCGCCTGCTCCTGTGTCCTAGCACTTCGACAGTGGTGGTGGCGTGCTTGACGTGCTGCCGCAGGACGACATGGGGAGGCTCATCGTCATGCGGTTCCAGTGGTTTGATTTCCTCGTTGGCGCAGACACTTTGTCAAGAAACACGTGGAGGTGCCCTTCGGTTGGATCCTAACCTGAATGAGTTGCAGGAGCAGGTGATGATGAGAGCAACTCCAGCAGCACCCCCTACTTGACCCCCTACCCACAATTTGGGTAGTGGAGGGCAAAAAACCAACTCCAGCAGGCCCCCTACTAGACCCCCCAGATTTGTTGGCCTCTTATTTTCTCCCTCCCACTACCCATTCCTGTTGGCCCCCCTACTCCACTAAAGGGCGTACCCAGTGCAAAGAGCTCCCGCTCTGTGCGGGGTCTAGGGAAGGATGTTAGTGGCAAGCCTTACCCTCGCCTGTGCAATGCGAGGAGACCGCGACTCGAACCCGGGACCTTCCGGTCACAGGCGGTAAGACTACCGCTTGCACTAGGCCCCCCTACTCCAAAACCCAAACATTTTTTCATGTTGCTTGACGCGCTTCTTCCCAAGAATCGCTCCGACGCTGTGGCCGTCTTCCCCATGAAGTCTGGGGCTGCAATGGCATGGCCATGCCGTGGCGTGGTGTACTCTGGCTGGCCTGCACAAGTGAACGGCCAGCCACAGCTAGCTAGCCCCTGGGCGGCCAGCCACAGAACCACCTGACCACTGGCCGAGGCGAGGCCAGCCCCGAAGGCCAGCCCTAGGCGACGCGGCCTGCACACCTGCCAAGAACTGCTCCCCAGAGAAGAACCTGAGAGAGAGGATGACATATGGGTCCCACGTGTCATTCTCTAGGATAATGGTTTTGGGTGGCCTGTTTTAGGTAGTGCTGCTGGAGAAAACAACAAAAAATGGTAGTGTTGAAATAGGTGGCTACCCAAATTGAGAAGGGGATCTGATTTGGGTAGCACTGCTGGAGATGCTCTGACCAATGCCTTCTGCCCTATTCTATATGTATTTCAGGTAACTTTGTTTTGTATATTATATTATGACATGATGATGCTGAACAATCGTCTTTATGCTTTTGTGGAGACTGAGCCATATCGTGCATCCATCTGGACAGATGCCGCATTTGCTCATGTTCTGGCTGCTGTCTGTTACACCCGTCAATGCTGGAAGGATTATACTGCAGAATTTAGATTCACAAGCATCTCAATCGACTAAGAAAGTAAGAAGCAGCAAGGGAAGGCAATGGTGAATGGAAGTATGGAACTGATGGGGCAGTTGGTGACACGCTAAGGTGAGGCCTATGGACTAAGAATGTAAGTTGTTTGAATCTTTAGCTTTTTTAGCAGACTACTGAAGAGTTGGGAAGGTCTCTTAGTATCCTGTAGTTTTTCAAAATCATTTAGGCAACTCTATTCAAGCAATCAAGCTTTGGTTGTGCTAGAATCCTGTGAGTAGCTTTAGTGTTTTCAGCTCTTTATGTGAAGACCTGATCTGAACCTGCTGACTACCCTTGTACAGTTCAGTACTAGCTGTAAGTAGCAACCTTGATCACCTTCCCTTGCAACTCATGAGACACAATCAGACATCCAGCCAAAAAAAAAAAGCTTAAGTTCACAATTAATGCGGCAATAAAACTAATTTGCTGAATGTTGTATTTGGATTCAGTATAGTCTTTTGATTTAGATATTGTATTTTTATTCAGATATAGTTTCTTTATTCACTATTTTGTAACATAATTGGAGCAATGTTGTGGGGTTCTTTAACACTAATGTTGATCGGTTTTTAGTGTATTTGAACTGTTTTTCTAATATACGACTATGCATATGCACTCATCAATTCAGGATGACGCCAACAGTTGTTTTGAATGGAAATATATTTTATTTGTACAGCCAGTCTATGATTGATTCAAATTAAAATTGTCTTTATGGTTCACATGGTTATTACAATGCTACAGTTAGTTTGGA